AGATCGGGTGAACGATCGAATCGCTTGAAAAGCAAATCCAAAACTGACAAAATCGGCACACATGCGAGAAAATGGGTACAGAACGGTAATCACACACACGACAAAACGAAATGAGATCAGCAGAGCAGAAACAACCATGCGCTGCACGTGACAAAAACACTGGAACGCCGCCGACATGAGCAGAGGCGATGCACGAGCACGAGCACGTTGCCGGGTGCGTTTGTCAGAATGAGGAATGAATGTTCCATTGATGTTGGTTGGGGTACATATAACAAACCCTAACTTCTGTACCCCCTAAGACAAACCTCACTACAGGCTACAACATTTGACACACCCCCATAGCCTAAGTGAGGGGTGTCTAGCAAAAACAAAAAAAAGAGTACGGTCACAAGACCAGTCCAAAAGAAAACAAAGCTCAGGGTGGATCACAACGTCACCACACACTCTGAGCACAAGCAACAGTGGCCACAAGGCCAGTCCAAGAGATCACAAGTATATATAGTAAGTGTACAGACGAAGCAGGCAATAAACTCAAGTCTACGCATGACTAGAACCTGTGTCAACAAGGCCTAACTGCACACAACACCTCTGGTGGTCACAAGGCGGAAGCGCCTTGGTGAAGATGTCTGCAGTGTTGGCCTCGGACTCTACAAACTCGAAGCGAGCCTGTCCACGCCTCTGCAACTCTCGCAGAAGAAAGTTCCTGACGTGAATGTGCTTCACTCTGCTCTCCAGTCGCGGCTCACGACAGAGGAGGATCGACGCCTTGTTGTCAGTGAACAAGGTCGGTGCAGAGCTCGGCCGCTCACCAAGGTCGGCGAGCAAGAAGGTCAACCACCGCAACTCCTGTGCCGCCATGGCACCAGCGTAAATCTCAGCCTCAGCTGTAGAGGTCGAGACAGAAGAGGAGCGCGTGGAACGCCAGGAAACAGCTCCAGAACCCAGACTGAAACAGTACCCCTGAGTAGACCTGTGAGTCTCAGCGTCGTCAGCGTAAGAGGAGTCACAGTGACCAGTGAGTACGACAGACTGCTGCCCTCCAAGAACTAGCCCCACGCCTGATGTAGTCGCTAGGTACTTCGCCACCCTCACAGCTGCCGTCCAGTGAACAGGACGGTGTCTCCCTGGCGCAACAAAGCGCGCAAGGATGCTGAGAGGGAAGGCGAGGTCCGGGCGAGTACAAGTCATCAGGTACATGAGGCAACCCACAAGCTCTGCGTAGGGACCACTAGGCTCAAACGGCTCGTCAGGAAAGGGACCAGTGAGTCTGTGGTCAACAGCTAGAGGTGTGCGCTGTACGGTGGAGTGCTGAAGCCCGAACCGCTGAAGGACCTGCTGCACCATGTGTGACTGTGAGAGTGTAATGGTGCGAGCGCCTCTGTCCCTGGTGATCTGCAGGCCAAGGTAGTGGCGTAGCTCACCAAGATCAGTGCACGTGTGTCTCTTCTGCAGTTCGGACTTCACGTCTGCCAAAGCAACTCTGTCCGAAGTGGCGAAAACGAGGTCGTCGACGTAGACCAGAACAAAGAACGGTGTGGAGCCACGACGAACGAACAGCGACGGGTCGGCAGAAGACAGCTGGAACCCAAGGTCAGAGAGGGTAGAACGCAGAGTGTCGTGCCACTCACGAGGGGCCTGGCGAAGACCGTAGACAGGTCGCCTCAGCCTCCACTGGGTCCCAGGAGGGAAAGTGCCAGTGAAGGCCGAGGGACGACGCAACCAGACCTCCTCGTGTAGACTGCCCTGAAGGAAAGCAGTGGAGAAGTCAAGAGAGTGTAACTCGTAGTCTCTCTGTGCTGCTACGTGTAGTAACACCCGAAGAGTGGTCATCTTCGGGGTAGGTGCGAAGGTCTGAAAGAAGTCAACTCCCTCGCGCTGACTGAAACCTCTAGCCACGTAGCGCGCCTTGAAGACCGGGGGAGATCCCGGTGGCCGCTTCACCCTGTAGATCCACATGCCGTCGACTACGTTCGCCCCAGGGGGGGGAACCTCATCGACGTAGGTGCCTGTGGATCTGTAGGAGGCCATCTCTGCGTCCATGGCAGCTCTCCACTGAGAGGCCCAAGGCCCTGACACTGCCTCAGCGTAAGTGCGAGGAGTCGGAATGTCAAGGGCGTCGGGGTCACCCTCAGGGGCGAGGAGCATGGCACAGAGATGAGGGGAAGCGGCCGCCAGGAACTCTAGCTCAAACTGCCTGTCCTCTAGGGCGTCACAGCCAAGGGCAGACACACCCCCGACGACCAGAGGACTGGTAGGAGGAGCAGTCACAAGCGTGGTGGCGTAGTCAAGGCGGCGGGTAGAGGCAAAGTCAGTAACCGCGGCAGTAAGAGCGGACACAGAGGACACAGAGGCACGAGGGTGAGTAACAAGAGAGGCGAGAACACGAGAGAGAACAGGACGGTACGTGCGGTAGTAGTCAGTGACAGG